TGGGCAAATTTCTAGAGACAGAAAGCAGAAGCCAGGAGCTGGGGGAAGAGAGGGTGAAGATGGATTGCTATTGGGTTTGGGGTTTCTCTTACGGGAAATGGAAATATTATGGAATTAGATGGTGGTGACACTTGTACAACTTTACAAATATAGTGAATTACTCTCTTTAAAATGGCAAATTTTATGTTATATAAATGATATATTAATAATAATAAATGAATAGCAACGTAACTATACTTTTGAATTGTTTAATAGTGCAGAAATGAAGGCACAGAGAATTATCTGAATTGCCTAAGGTTCACAGCAGAACCTGCATTCTGATTTGCCCATATATGTATTTTAATCTATTATTTTTCACTGTGACTAAGTGCATCTAACCCAAGTCTCATACTGGCTGTCACCTGGTTTCTGGCTACTTATTGAAGTTTTATGACAGATCTGCTAGGAAACATATCCTTACTTCTTTCTGTATAAGCTTCAGTTTACTTGACATCTAAATTTATTCCTATATTAGCAGTTTACTTGGTATTGATATTTAAATTAATTAGTACATTACTAGTACACATATGTGCCCCATATTGTGAACATTGTTAGACATATAAAGCTCAAGTTCAGCAAGTCAAGAAACTAGAAACACAGAATGAGAAATCATTGGTCTACAGGAGCTAGTGAGAGACCTACATTGGATGAACTTGCTTAGGAGTGGGCAGCGGGAGGAGAGGCACTGGGGTGGAACCTTAGAGCCCTGGATATCTCAGAGCAGTCAGAAGCCACCATGCTAGGAATAGTCACTTATACAAAGTAGCTCATGAGTGACAGAGGCAGGAGGAAGTTACCTCATCATATAGTAGTCCTTATGCCTTAGTACACTATGCTATTGGTTTATGACTCCCTTCCTCATTCCGAGTTCCCCAGCTTTCTGTCCCCCTTTACTATGTGAAATGAATATCTGTATGTATGAATTTTTAAATACACTGCATTATAATTACACATACTGGTGGAATTCATTGTTACATACTCGTACATGACATTAAAAGTATTTAGATATGTTGCCAACGCCCTCCAAATTCTATGATTCCACAGAAGTTCTCCACCCCTTTTATTACTGTGTTCCACTTAATACTATAAAACATTAGCTTATTTTTTTTCTTCAAATGTGGGTGTAAAAATGGTGCTCCTTTCCTGGGAGCCGAAAAAGTTATGGGTCCTTAAACACAGCGCTGAGCTGGACTGGCATAGATTCCTCTCTGCCTTGTGCAGTCCCTTCTCCCTACTTCTCTCCCACCCACTCACCTCCCTGTCTGCCTTTAGAAACAAGTCCAACCATCACCCTGTGATGTGGCCCCTCTGTGGCTGTACCCTGTGGCCCCCACCCACACGTGTATATGTCCACACACAGGTAGACCCAGGGTCTCCATGTAACAGAAAATAGGAGGAGAGTCCTGGCTTCTCTCAAACACATTGGTTTACACAAGCTTGTGACATCTCTGCTGATTCTGTGTCCTTTCCAGGATCTTCCTTTGTTGACTCTTTAAGCATGGTGTGTTCATTACAATGTGGACTATCAGGAATTGGCTCATATGACCATGGGAATAGAGAAGCCCCACATCTGCCCTCTGCAAGCTGAAGGTGAGGAAGGCCAAGGGTGTGGTTGGAAGGCCTGAGAGCCAGAGAGCTGGTAGTGTGGATTCCAGTCCAGGTCTGATGACAGAACCAGGAACAGCCAGGTAGGAGAAAAGCACTGTCCCAGCAGTTAGTCAGCAAATGCACCCTCCCTTCCCCTTCTTGTTCTACTCAGGCTGTGAATGGATTGGATGGTGCCCACACCCATTGGGGGGTGGAATCTGCTTTACTCAGGTCACTAATTCAATTTCTTCCAGAGATAGCCTCACAACCCTCACTATCCTCTAACCAGCTATGGGAGCATCTCATGGCCCAGTCAAGTTAACACAAAATTAACCAATCACATTGGGCATGCTTCTTTTCTATTCCACACTCATCCTGAGCAATCTCATCAACTCTCATGTGCTATGTCAACCCCAATCTACGCTGTCATAATTTTTCTTTTCTAGATCTGCTTCTGAGCTTCAATGCCATACAACAATCCTATCCTTATAGACATCTATCCAACATTAAAAAAAATTTAAAAACAAAACAAACAAATAACAGAACTCTTTCCAAAGGTGTGGGTTTTTTTTCCACATTCCTATTTTTAGGTACCCTTTAACTTATGCCGATGATCTAGGAATTAATCTTTTTTTTCTCTCCCAAAACTAATAAGCAAATCCTATGCATTCTATCTCCATAAAGTACTTTTGATCTGAGAACATTCCCAGGAGGTTGCTTCATGTGAGGCCCTCCTCACTTCTCTCCTGAATGTCTACCATTAACTCATGGTCTCCCTACCTCCCACCAAGTCTTACATCAATCCTCCAATCCACTGAGAAGGTAATAGTTCTAAAATACAAAAGCAAATATTTAATTCACCGGATGAAGAAAGTCTTCTATTATTTATATTGTGTTCTCAAACTGTGTACTAAGCCACCCTGGGACACCACAGTGAATACATTCACAAAATTGTCATGGAATATGATGAATTTTCGAAAGAAACACAGCCATTTGTATGGACGGACACCATACAAATTACCACTTCTACATTTTTTGGACCTAGCTGTTCAATTAAAAGAACTAAGTATTTCTTTTGACCTTGGACAGTGTGAAGAAATTATAGAGACAATCTGAGTGCAGTTGTTGAGAGACTTTGGGAACCTATGACCTACTAAATATCATCAGGAGCCTCAGTGTGGCATGAACGAGTCCTTACCCATGTCTGCAGCCTCATTTTGATCCTTATTCTGCCTTTCCTGTTCCCCTAATTCTACTATACCATCAGAGAAGATAGGCTTGAATCTCGCCATATATGTTCTTCCAGACATCTTGACTGGTTAAACTCTGACATCTAAGAGGGTAGATGCATAGGGTGCCCACAGTGTAGGGGTGAGACCTGGTGACCTCAACTAGAAATCAGATGAAATAAATAAACCAGGAGGTTACCCCAGAACCCCCATACCTGGTGAATTCTGTGTGACTTGGATTATCTTAAGTTAAAAAAAACAAAAAACAAAAAACAAAAAACTGGTTGACTATTCTTTGGGATTCCATACATATTTGTCAGGTCAAGAGAAGAAAAGGGGCCAGCATTCTGGTCCCTATCCTGCTTCTCATTTTCCACAGAGGTCTCTGTCTTTCCAGGGTGGGAGGCAAAGATCCAGTCAATCAGAGAATTGAGATCATTTACTTTGTAAATGATTGTGCTACCTATGGCCTTCCAGCTCAGAAAAGAGGCACCACACACCTGAGTTCCAGACAGACCCTCTCTTTGTGCCCCACTTTATCTTGCCCATAACTGGGTCACAACCTTTGTAACATTCATTCACACTTGTTTGTTCACCTGCCTCCCCTACTAGACGGCAAATTTGTGAAGGGCCCAGGCAGGCAGGTCTCATTTCTGCCGACTCTTTACCTGCAGTAACCGACACCTGAGTTGTGAGTGGATATTTGATGACTGAGTCCATTTCAAGAAGGATACAGTTGAGCCTCACAGAAAATTCAAGTAACTTAGAAGATAAACATTGTCCCCTTCCCTCCTTGCTAAACAGAACTCTGGTTTTATTTACACATTGAGCAGATTCCCATTTACGTGAAAGGCCAGGCTCAGCTCCTACATGAAGTTCAGATGTTCTAGTTCTGGCTGAGATGGAAAGGGAAATCTTTTGGTAGGCTATTTATTTGATATTATTATTTATTTATTTGGAAGATATTATACCTTCTTAACAAGAGAAGACTCATGAAGAATAACTTTTGCCTGCCTTCCCATTCTTGGGCCCCAAGGGAAGTGTAATATTTGGAGTTGTACAAGTCATTTTGCAACCATGAGATAAAGGTCAAATGAATTGTAAAAGTCTGACATCACTGAACCCCTGAGGAGAAACACCAGCAAACTCTTTATCTATAGATTTGTTAAACAATCTTCTAGTGCAACTTGGTTTTCTGTTATATTTTAATTGATATAAGAAGAAAAAGAAGTTGAGTAGGTACAGTGGCATGTGCCTATAGTCCCAGCTACTGGGCAGAGAAGGTAGGCGGTTGAGGCAGGAAGATGGCTGGGCCCAGGAATTGAAGGCCAACCTGGGCAACATAGCAAGATGGTGGTGTTGGGGGCGGGGGGCGAGCATGGACAACTCTTCTTAATAAATATTATGAAAAAAAATATTACAAATGGTCAAATAGTAGCAATCATGAACTTAAAGATATAGTTTGTTTGGCAGTATTAGAAATGAGCTTAGCAATATAAATTCAGTGAGGTTACAGGTGTCTCTAATACTCTAATACTTTAATATTGTTGGCAATAGAGAATCAGAGAAGGTTTTTGATTAGTTTTGAAACTTTCTGAAGATTACTTTGGCAGAAATTAGCAGGATTCATATGTACCTTGCTGCAAACTGATGTATCACATTGCTTAACTTTCTGACCTTTATTGGGCATAATTATATTGGCACTGCCTGCCATGCAGATTCATTCAGTATGTAACCCCCCTCTTAACTGTTCACATAGAAGTGAAACAGCGATCATGTTGCACATGATGCTGTTGACCTCAAAATTCAGGTCTCAGAGCCAATAAAATGTTACATCTTTTCAGTGCTACTATGTTAGGAATAATCCCTATGGAAGTTACAAAGTAAATAATACTTCTTTTAATAAAAAGTAGCAATGATAAAAACATTGTATGAACTCCTGCCATATACAATGAGAAAATAAGACCTCATGTTCTTTCACAGTACCAATTTATATTAAACTGCTTGGGCAAATAATAAAACCGTGCATGATAGGCCTAAGATTGTTAGATTTCTTCAACAGTATTTCTAAAATGTTGTGGAAAGGGTTTTTGTGCATGCTTTGTTGCCTTTCTATTAGTGTAAAAAATACCTTAGACAATCAGGTTAAAATGTAAAAGGTTTATTTCAATTCACAATTTTGAAGGTTCATTCCATGGTCACTGGGCCCCACTGCCTTGGGGCCTATGATGAGGTAGCACATCATGGCAGGAAATGGGTGGAAGAACAAAATCACTCACTTCATATTGAATTCTGGCTAGGAAAAAAGAAAGAAAGAGAAAGAAATTAGATATGCCTCCAATGACCTAAAATCTCCTACTAGGCCACCTCTTAAAGGCTCTACCATCTCCCAATATTGCTAAATTGGGGATGGAGGCTTTAATATATGGTGCTTTGGGGAGCATTTTAGATCCAAATCATAGCACTTTAAATTTTTTTTTCATGATTTTATTATGTAAGAATAAATGCTTTTACACGTATTCATAGTTTCAAACATGTTTTCATTCTTTTCATTAAGTCTACACAGAAAACAAATTTACAACAGAAAGACACCAGACTAGAGAAATCTCCACCATCAATACCATCTAGCATTCAAACACTGAGAAGGAAAAAATACTGGGGATATGTGTTTGCTTTGCATCCTACACGTGGACACCATCAGACAAGATTATTGACCAAGGAAAAGAAAAGTGTCTCTTTTTTTTGGACCAGGACTTGATTGTTAGATATTTTAAAATAAATTATAATAAGCTTGTAAAAAAAAGTACAAAGAACAAAAAGTGTTAACATCTTGTCATAGTTGCCTCTAATCTTGCAAAGAGTGGATGCTCCTTTGGGACCCCTTTCTATTCCTCATTCCTTCTTTCCATCTCTCCAAAAGGAAATCATTTTCTTTTGAAGTTGATAGTCATCCTTCTGTTGACAGTACACTTTTACTTCATATGTGTATTTCTTTACCCACATCTTTTACCTTTGGAATTCTTCATGAATTATTAAATTTTTAAACATAAGTTATTTATACATTCTAAATATTAATCCTTTGTTAAGTACATGCCTTGCAAATATCACATCACTATCATTCAGTGTTTTATGAATGCCTTTTGTTTTTAATTTTTAATCTAATGCAATTTATCATTTCCTCTGTGGGTTGTATAATTTAATGTTTTGTTTAAGAAATCCTTCCCTATTCCAAAGTTTTGAAGAAATTCTTCTATATTTGCCTTCAATATTTTTTAAAGTTCTGTTTTTCTTATTTAGGTGTTTAATCTGTAAGAAATTTAATTCATATGTGAAGAAGGGTAGGGATCTAACTTTATGTTTTTCCTTATGAATGTTCGATTTTAAAATCAGAAAATAAAGAAGGATTAATCACTCCTTACACTCTATAAACTCCTTAACAGATACTATAATCTATACCCACCTTATCAATATACTGCCTCAAAGTACTTAATACTACTTGTACTCAACATATATTTGTTGGTGAAGGAGACTTTTTCCAGTCCCCATTAATGAGTATTTATGCCAAATTGTCCATCTAAAATAATCTGAGCTGTGCTTAATTTATTCTCTCTGAGCAGGAAGTAACTTCTTAACAAGATTAACATGCTGTAACTACTGAATTTCTCCAATTAAATCCAGGGTTAGTAATGACTTCTCTAACTTTGCCCATCTTTAGAGAGCTTTTTGGGGGTGGGTGAAGGAGAGAATCTACCTATTAATCAAATTAGACTCATATATTTATTCATCTACCAGGAGAAATGCACAAAAAAGCCATTTTAGCCTACTTCTGTAAATCAACTATTTGAATCAGAGGATTATCTGTACCAAATTCAATTTGGCAAACATTGTGAGAGTACCAACTTATAGATTCAGGCCTAGTTGCATTGGTTTAGTTCTTGTCAAAAACCTACTTATTTTCTCCTTTTCATAAATAGTCTGAAAGTAAATTACACTTAAAACTCAATTTAGATCAAGGGAATGATTGGAAACCAAGATAGATAATTTAAAAAAAAAAGTCTAAGATTCTTTCTCTCATGCTTTTGAAAAGGAGTTTCCCTTACAAAACTTTGATCTTTCCTAATAATCCCCAGGAATTTTACAGTGACAAAAAAGAATAAAAACATTTTGTTTTGGAGGACTGGTTCTAAAAATGAGGATGTAACACTGACCAGAAAAAGTGAGACGACATTGGTAGATGTAAATACAGTACATGAAATAGTTTGGAAGAAAAATCATTTTATTTTTAAACTTTGCTTATAGACTAACCTTTTTTTTTTTTCCTTTTCTTTTCTTTTCTTTTTCTTGCCATGACTAGAAAAGGTACTCAGTTGGCCAATGATGTCATTGCTTCCCTTCATTTGCAATAACTTCTGTGAGCAGGTTCTCTAAAAGAACCCTGGGGAATCCTGCCCAGCTCTATTGCTCAGATTCAGCAGAGTCAAGAAATATCACCTTCTGTTTCATCTTTAAGGTAGTAATGTATGCCCTATTGTTTTATTGAATGTCACTTAGGGACCCTGAACTTCAAAACCGTGCTGAATCTAAGAAAATTACCACAGAACCACAATTTTGGGACACTCTGTATTCAGAAGTATCAGGTTGGTTTGTTGCTTGCTTGTTTTAAGATTCATTCTTTTTCTTAAAAAAAAATAAAGTTAACCATGGGTGTAAAAGAAAAAGTAACTTTAAAGAAAGCTTATTCTTAAAAAACTTAACCATCTTAGTGCTCGGGAATTTCCTGTGTTCAAAAGAAAACAAGAAAAACAAGAAAAAAATTAACATTGCTATTTTCTTTGCAAGCTTCTTTTAAAATCGTCATTGGAAGTCCCCTGGGAAAATGAAATTCAGATTTCTTACCTATTCAAAAATCATGCAATGCCCATGAACTACTGCCAAAGCCAAAGGGAAACGGAGGGTGGTGGTGGGAGGAAAGCGCGTTAACTTCTTAATAAAATCTGTTCGGGGGACGCTCAGCTGATGGGACCCGGCCGCGCAAGTCGGGGAGCAGCGGGGTGGGTGATGCAGGACACCAGGCAAGGTCCCTGCTGCGGCTGGCAGGCGCACGGCTCCTCGGAGGAGGTTGGTGCGGTCTAAAATAACACTTTTCTTTACCAAATCAACTCTCTACCTAAGCCCACCATCCCTGTCACCCCCTCTTGCTTCCTCCCTCAGACAAAAACCTAAAAGTGAGACGGGAGGCTTGCGGGGGGCGGTGCAAGCCCAGAAAGGGAACTGAGAAGAAAAGCGCCAGTGACAAGACACAAAATGGAGAAAGAGGAACCGAGAGGGCACAGAAACCAGGGAAGAGCCAGGAAAAGGAGGTTATTATTAAGAACGGTAGAGGGGCTGTGGGGTGGAGGACGCCAGAGGGACTGCGCAGGAGGGAGACGTTAGAGGACTGGGAGAGAAAAGCGACCAAGTAAGACACAGAGGCGGAACAGACAAGAAAGACGTTCTAGATGTCGAGGCTCCATTTTCAGCAGCGCCATATTCGCTTTTCCTTTCGCCGCTTTTTGTTTGGTTTTGTTTGCCGGCGGTGGACAGGCGCCAGCGCGTTTCTGCAGCCTCAGCAGCTTCGGTCCGACAGATGGGGAGGGTTGGAGGGCCCGGGCGGGGACGAGCGCCTTCGCCCAGACCCCCGGCGCGGCCCCCTCCCCGGCCTGGCCACTTGTGTGCACCGCCCACCCCGCTGCCCTCGGCTGCGAGTGGGCCTCCACCTCGGCCCTGCGCGGAGAAAGCGCCTCGCCCGGGACCCGCGGGAGCCCCCAGGGAGCCCACGCCCTCTAGTTCCTCCCGGTGCTGGTGGGCGCGCGTGCTCAGGGGGTGGGTAACAGAGGAGCGTCGAAGAAAGAAACCGAAAAAGAGCAACTAAACCTGTTGGGAAGGAGGAGTGGGCGCACGCTGGGGGAGAGCCGGGTGGGACGCCCGAAAATAGAGCCTTTCTGGAGGTGACCCAGGAGCCAAGGCCTGGATCTGGCCGGGGTCGGGCGGCCCATGGGGCCCCTTCCACCTGCGCGGGGGCTAGCTGGAAGCTGGGCTGCCCTGAGCGGAGCCTGGCCCCGGCCACCAGGCCTCTCCCTGCTCCAGGAAGAACGTCCAAGGTCGGCCGTCGGCTGGTCGGGAGCCCCAGGCGGGTCTGAAAGGAGAAACTGACCACTGCAGGCCTTGGGGGCGCCGGTCCAGGGAGTGTCAGGGACTTCGTGGTGCCCTCCGCAGGGATTTTAGGTGAAGTCGGTGCCTCGAAACTCCTTGAGGTTAAGCACTGGGACAATTGGTGACAGTCCACAACTTGGAAAGCCAGGTTCTCTCAGCCCCGACCTCGCTCAGATGGTTTCGTGGAATCGTATCTGGGTCCATAGAAAAGTGCCCAGTAAGCCCCAAGTACATTTTCTTCGTACCCCTCCACTTTTTTTCTTTACTTGCACTTGACATCACCCTTCGCTCAAAGTTCTAAACTCGCCCGCGCTAGGGAAGAGCTTGGGTTCTCGGTGTCCCCATCCCGCCGCTGGGGCTGCCGGGGAGCAGGCGGGCGACAAGATCCTCTGGTCGGGAGGCAGGAGGCTGCAGCCCTCGCCGTCGGGTTTTGCGCAGTGCCACCTGCCAGGACCAGCCGGTGCATTCTATCCCCTGGCCTTCCTTTCTTCACCCTGTAGAATTGAGGGTAGCTTGAGGCTGAAATTGACAGCTTCTTTAGGCGGGTGGAGTGGAGCGTGTCAGTGAAACGACTCGGGATCACCGCATGGTAACCGAGCCCCACAACGTGCCGCGTGCCTCTGTCCGCACTTTGGTGGTTTTGCCCCCAAAGGAAAAGTTTTCATGCTAGTGTTTGCACCCCTCCCCACGTTCGCTGTTCCTGGCCATTTCTAACAATACAATCCTGTGCATGTCACTGGCACCTGAGTGAGTGTTCGGGTCACCTCAGACTCAGGAATCTACCCCTCATACTTGGCACCCTCAAAGCTCCCCCCCACCCCGTACCCCCGCTCCTCAACCAAGAGGCTCCTTAAGCCTCAGAGGGCTCGTCCCCACCTGCGGCTCGGCTTTGGATGTAGTAACTGTTATTTTATTACTACGTCTTTATTAATCTGCCTTTGAATTATGAAATGGCATTTATGTTATTTTCAACAGCTTAGCCTTCATATATCTGTTTTCCCAACTACAGATTTCCACAAGGAAAATATCTTTCTCAGGCAGCAAAAAATCAGATTCCTTTTATCTTTTATTTAATAATTCAAGTTGCAAATTACTTAAAAATAGAACCGTTTTCCCTAAGAGAAAGTTCAGTGACTAAATTTGAACCTTAATGTTGACACTTTTCTTCTGTGTTTTTGTGAAAGATTAAAATCAAATTTTAAAGATGTAATAGCCATGTGATGGCTTTAGAAGAGACCACAAAATTAAGAACTAAAAACATTGACAATCTTCTAGGCCTACTTTACAAAAACATTATAACTCTGTTTCTGAGAAAGAAAGAAAAGGCCATATGGATTTTGGGAATTAAAGTATTCATGGCGGGCTATTCATGGACTAGACATCATCATTTGACAACAGATAAGATTTAAATTGGGCATTGCCCACAGGTCTCATACTTAAATTGTTTCTTGGATGTTCTTACTAGTCTTTTGTTCTGCCTTCTTATGTAGAAAAGTTTACAGTTAGCTCTCCATGTTTCCTTTAGTTTAATCAGGATTTTAAAACAATTTAAAAACCCTAACGCCATTCAGGAAAACACATTTTATGGCAGCCAAATACAAAAGTACATCATGCCTAAAATAAGTTCTCATCTATCAAGGACTTGATGCTTCTGAGATAAAGGTTGGAAGTTTGTTCTTGGTAGGTGTTCTATTCACTCTTATCTAGTCATTGAATGCAACTGATTAGGGTTTGAAGGCCCACTTTTTTTTCCCCCTAAATCATTGCAAAGTGTCTGTTAAGCTCATTTATTAAACTCTTAAGAGAAACTTAGGATTCTTTTCATGAGGCAATATACTGATCAATGTAAAACAAATATCATGTTAATGTAGGACACATGTTCATGAGTTAAATATTGCTCATATGCAATTCAAGAATAAGTCATCTCTATTTGATAGGTTTACCATATAAAAAAGGCTTATAACTATTGTCAGAGAGACAAAATTTTAAGTGAGCTCTAATACAAAATTTATTTTGAAAAATAGGTAATATAAATTACCTTTAGAGAAAAGTTTTGATAAGATACTTCTCAGAAATGCGAAATACACACACACACACACAAAAATTACAGAAGTCCAGCATATGATAGTCAATTTATAAATCATTCAATTTTATAAATCTATGTTAATTTTTAGCATTATCTATTGGTCTACAAGTCATTCAAAATCTTAAAATTAGTAATGTCTTAAATACTTGTAAAGCATTTTTTATATTTGTAACTGCTTATTTTGTAACATCACAAGCCATAATTGCTTCAATTCATTGAAATATGTTATACTAAGTGTATTTTAAATGATCCTTATTTGTATTATGTATACATCAAATTTCAAATATCTGCTTTTTTACATTTTTCAAGTACATTTTCTTAAATTCCAGAAGGATGATATATTAACACACAGACTACATTCAAGTATTTCATTCTAATAGAACCTAAATGTAATGCCTACTATAAGATATGTACAATCATAGGAATTAGTGAAGAAAATAGCTTCATTTCATTATAATTCTATTAGCATCTTAAGAACATTTCTTTTTATACCTAAATGTTAAAAACAAATAGTTTATATTCTTCAGTAGCCTCTTCCCAATCCATCACTTTATTGAATAATTCAATTATGTCTACTTGCTGCCAAATACTTAAAGAAATGAGGTATCTCCATTTTCCTTTGTAATACTCCATGCTCTTTCTTGATTGTTTATGAGAAGTCAATATAGTTCAGAGATGTTAACAGTTATTAATTTTAAATTAGGACAAACACTTGCATTCATTTATCAAATATATAAAATTCATTGAGGTCCTAGGTCACTGGCAATGAATGTATTGAAAATATATATTGATATATAAAAATTTCAAGGTTACATACTTTATGTTAACTGGGAATTAGAAGTACTTTTCTTTAAAATGTTTTTAAATATCACCTCTTGCTTCAGGAGAGCTAAAAATGACACTAAACATCCTACACAAAGTGTGGGTAGCAGTGCTGGTGATGATTTTGAAGGTGATTGAGGGGAGGTATGAAGATAATTATAAAGCTTTTTTAAATCTATCTGTTTTTTAATAAACTTTTTTTGTGTGTGTGTTTTCAGCTAAATATTTGGCAATATAGTCAATCAATGTCTCAGGCAATTTCTTAGGTACTCAAGACCTAAAAATAAAAGAGTGAAAGAACATTGATTAGCTAAAATATTAGAGTTTTTATGTCACAAAAAGAACTATCTATATGCCATTAATGGTATTAATGAAAAATATACAAAGAATTACAGAACAATTACATGATTGTGTTGCTAAATGAAGAAGGATTGCTACAATAAATGCAATATTTTTTAAAGAGTCAGTAATCTTTTACAGTGGTTTTCACATAATGTTTTTACATGTTGTTTTAAATTGTTTATTATATTGCAAGTGTTCTGAATTGAATTTTTTTAAAACATATAGACTACCCAGCTGACTTTATACACTAGGAATAAAAAGAAATAAGTGGAATTCTTGGTTATTAACAAGGGTTTAAACAATGATAACAGAATTTCATAAATCAATTATATGCTCCATTTGAAGATTACAAAGCATAATTAACTTACTTGACACCAATACAGTGTTTTGTTTCTTCACAGAATGTACTATGAGCTGTTTTCAATTATTGCCACTGAAATGTTGTTCTTTAAAATTAACAAATGAATGAAGCGTTTGCATACTGTACATTGCACAGAGGACAACCTAGAGTTTTCTAATTGTCTTGTAATTAAATTTTGTTTACTTGCAAAATTTCTTCTCCACTGAGAAACAAGTGTTACCTATCTTAAAAAAAAGAAAAACTAAACAACTTTGTGTGTGTGTGGGAACCCTACAGTATCTTTATGAATGATATGAGATAAAATTAATTATTTGAAATGACATCTAGAAATTGGATTTTAATTCTTAATTTAGAATATTGAGCATAAAATATTATAGTTTTATTGTAAATTTTACTGGGCCATTCTTTACAAAAACACAGAAAAACACAAATACCTAGACAATAAAACATTTTTCAGTTACATAAAACATAGGAAAGTCTTAGGGATGGGAAGGGGACCCGAAATGGAAAAGTAGCTATTTGCCAAATATTTCTATCACCCATTTACTGATGCCTTCAACATTTTTATAGTTCAAAAATTTGAAGCTGAATGTGGTGGTTTATGCTATAATTCCAGCTATTCAGGAGGCTGAGGCAGGAAGACCACAAGTTCAAGGCCAGCTGCAGCAACTTAGCAAGGTCCCAAAAACTTAATGAGACCCTGTATCAAAATAAAATATAAAAAGGGCTGGGTATGTGGCTCAGTGGTAAAGTGTCATTGAGTTCCATCTCTTGTACAAAAAAAAAAAAAAAAAAGTTGAGTCAAGTAAAATCTAAATCTAAATGCTACTGGGAAAACTCACATCCTAAGCTGTTCTCTTAACAATTATTTACACCTTTAAATTAGTGCCTTAACAAATGTTGGTGAAAGGAAGAGAAAGTTTCAGAATGCTGAGTAATTAACATGAATCAGAGAATTTGAAGAAGTGGGAGGAGACAGAGAAGAAGAGGACTGTTCAGCAACAGATAAACATTTTAGTTTACACTTTTTCCTGGTCAAAATTAATTACCTAGGGGCTGGGTTTGTGGCTCAGTGGTAGAGTGCTTGCCTAACATATGTGAGGCACTGAATTCGATCCTCAGCACCACATAAAAATAAATAAATAAAGGTATTATGTCCATCTATAACTTAAAAAATTTTTTTAAATTAATTAACGCTCCATTTAACATTTAATGACCTATAATTCACTTCATTTTATACTATTCCTTATATATGAACAATTAAACTATCACTTCAAGTTAATGGGAGAAAATAATTAGAGATTTTAGGTACACAATCTGAATGTAAAATAATCAGATCATTAAAATCATATCTATAAAATAGAAAATGAGCTATTAGTTTTGTTATGATGTACTTGACAACCAGTTAACTTGGCTGTCTATATTAATCATACTAACCAGATATTGCTAAATATCAGCTTCACTGTGAACTGTGTTAATACATATCACAAGTAGATACAATCTCTTAAAACATTTCATAGTAGATTCTAGGGTGCTTTCTCCTATTGGTTATATTATCGACAAATTTTCACAATGTATGGAAATTAGAACACTTATCAATTCAAAATAAACTATTAAAATAGCCAAACAATCATGTAATGGTTCAGTTACTTCAAACTTCAGACTCAGATTCCTCTGCCATAAAGAACTGGTCATTCAAGATTCTATCCTAAAAACAATATTTACACTTTTCAGGCTAACTCCAAACAAAGTAAAACTAATGGATCACCAGCAATTAAGTTAACTCCACAATTTAAGTGAAAAACGAATTGGTAAAAATGCTAATGACATAAGTGTGAAATTTATGTGTGTTCCT